CTAAAAAGTAGTCAAGAAGAAAAGTCACAAGAAGCCAGGGGAAGTTTCATGGAAGGCAGCATTGACAATATGAAAAACTAGTTAATAAGATGTGGACAAAAAGTATCTGTTAAACTGGCAACTGGAAGATTACTGGTGAACATGAGGGCTCTCCATGGAATGACAGAGAAACTAGTTTAATGGGCAGGGGGCTGAGGGATAAATGAGCTCTTTTCACTTACACTCACAACAGTTTGGCCACTTTAAAGGGTTGCTGTGGTTAAGTGCCACAGCTGCTAACCAAAAGGTCAGCAGTTTGAATCCACCAGGTGCTCACTGGAAACTCTATGAGGCAATTCTACTCTGTCCTATAGGGTCACTATGAGTCGGAATCGACTTAACAGCAACAGGTTTGGTTTTTTTGGTTTTTGTGGGGCCATAGGAGAGTTCTAACTAGAGGCAGGAAAAATGGTATCAAATACTAGCTTTGCCAACTGCTCAATCTGTGTGGCATTGGGGAAGTCTCTTATGCTCTGAGTCTCAGAGTCCTCATCTACAAAATCAGTCTGTAACAACTTACCTCTGAGGATTATTTGAGACTAAATGAGATAAAATATATAACTAGATCTACCTCAAAACCTAGGATGCCTATTCATTCATTCATTCACCATAATTAGACACTATGAATGTAATATAAAAGGAATCAAACTAATCTTAAATTAGTTTAATTATTATTGTTATTGCACTAAACAACAACAGATTTGTTAGCAGGCCACAATGTCAATCCATCTAAGTTAGCAGGCCACAATGTCAATTCATCTCATAGAGGGTCTTCCTCTTTTTCATTGATCCTCTACTTTACCAAGCATGATGTCCTTCTCCAGGGACTGGTCCCTCCTGATAACATGTCCAAAGTACTTGAGACGAAGTCTCACCATCCTCCCTTCTAAGGAGCATTCTGGCTGTACTTCTTCCAAGGCAGATTTGTTTGTTTTTCTGGCAGTCCATGATATATTCAATATTCTTCACCAACACCATGATTCAAATGCATCAATTCTTCTTCAGTCTTCCTTATTCACTGTCCAGCTTTCACATGCACAGGAGGAGACTGAAAATACCATGGCTTGGGTCAGGTGTACCTTAGTCCTCAAAGTGTCATCTTTGCTTTTTAATATGTTAAAGAGTTCTTCTGCGGCAGATTTGCCCAATGCAATGAGTCTTCTGATTTCTTGACTGCTGACTGTGGTTCCAAGTAAAATGAAATCCTTGACAACTTCAATCTTTTCTCCATTCATCATGAATTGCTTATTGGTCTAGTTGTGGGGATTTTTTGTTTTCTTTATGTTGAGGTGTAATCTATACTGAAGACTGTGACCTTTGATCTTCATCAGTAAATGCTTCAAGTCCTCGTCACTTTCAGCAAGCAAGGTTGTGTCCTCTGCATAATGCAGGTTGTTAATGAGTCTTTCTACAATCCTGATGCCATGTTCTTCTCTGTATAGTCCAGCTTCTCAGATTATTTGCTCAGCATACAGATTGAATAAGTACGGAGAAAGGATACAACGCTGACGCACCTTTCCTGACTTTAAAAAACACAGTATCCCCTTGTTCTGTTTGAACGACTGCCTCTTGGTCTATGTACAGGTTCTACATGAGCACAATTAAGTGTTCAGGAATTCCCTTTCTTCACAAATGTTATCCATAATTTGTTATGATCCACACATTCAAATGCCTTTGCATAGTCAATAAAACACGGGTAAATATCTTTCTGGTATTCTCTGCTTTCAGCCAGGATCCACCTGACATCAGCAATGATATCCCTTGTTCCACATCCTCTTCTGAATCTGGCTTGAATTTCTGGCAGTTCCCTGTCAATGTACTACTACAATCGTTTTTGAGAAGAGCTTCCAACTGGTTCATTCATGGCCAATGAAGCGAAACCAGAACAGACCTGAATTTTTACAATTTGCGTGATCTGGAACAGGAAAAATTATGGCTCAAAGGTCTGGAATGAGAGACACAGAAGAGGCATAGTGAACCCTTTCAGAAACCTGATGCTTGGGACTAGATTATTGCCAGGACTGTGGAGAGCAATGCACATGCTTCCAGCATGGTTGGCTTCCATCTTTGAGCAAGGCCCCACTATTTCCCAGTCTGCGCAAAATCTGAAGGGTAAGAGATTTGCTTGCTATGCAACGTGTACTCTGCCCTTGTTTTCTAAGAAGGAGATTAAGTTGCTAGCAGGGCTTCAACCCATAATATGTCCCATTCCAGTTACTGTACTGTCTCATTATTCTAAAAACTCAGGTCTGTTCCAGTGTCATTTCCTTGGCCATGACTGGACTGGGAAGAACAGGTTTGAACCCCTGTTTTTGAATTATCTTCAGTATAATTTTATTTGCATGTGGTATTAATGATATTGTTCGATAATTTCCGCACTCTGTTGGATCATCTTCCTTTGGAATGGATCTCTTCTAGTCAGCTGTCTTCCAAATTTCTTGGCATTGATAAGTGAGTGCTTCCAGTGTTGCATCTGTCTGTTGAAACACTGACATAGTGGCTGCAATAATGGGCTGAAACATGGCAACAATTGTGACGTTGGCGCAGGACCGGGCAGTGCTTCGTTATGTCGTACATAGGGTTGCTATGAGTCAGAATCGACTCAACAGCACCTAACAACAACAACAAATTAACAACACACTTTTATATGTAGTCAATTTTGCTATAATACTTGTGATGAAAACATGAATTTGATCCAGTACAATCGATATAGTAGGGAACAATTTGAGCATAACACGAATTTTCCATTTGGTTATGTGAAATTTCATTTGTGAGAAACATTAAGTCAATGCAGGAAGCTGCACCCAGGTGAACCAAGCCATATAAGAATATACAAACACACACACACACACAAACACACAAACACACACACACACACACACACACACACACACACACACCCCTCTCTCAAATATGTCTCAGATACCTAAGTTCACTGTATGTGTTATGAGCTATACCCATTCACCCATTCACATCTGGTGTTACAAATGTCCATCTGATTTCAGATAACCAACTGTTGGAAGACCATTTTCTGTGAATATTTTTGTATTTCTAAATGGTATGGGATTTCTGAGCAGAGCACGGACAAACTTGGTTAAAGGATGATTGGACAGCAAGCATGCCTTGGGAAGTAGGGGTAATATACTGCTCTGGAAAGATTCAGACACCTCCCTCCTGGAGCCATTTCCTTCGATTACAAGGTGGGGAATCTAGAGACTTTCCCCTCCTCTCCCAGAGAAGGTTTTTTTTACTTTCCAAAGTAAAGATCTCTCTCTTGAAGGGATGATGGGGGCAGATATGTTAGCATCCTATAAAACCTTAAGAGTTTCCTAATTTGGGGGTTCCTTTCCTACAGTGCAAACCCACTGCATGTGCAGGGTAACATCAGGCCCTTACTGCATCACATCATGGAGAGGAGGGCTTAGAAACCAGTGTTAATATGCTCTGTAATAAATGGCCTGTTCTCTGATCCAGACACCTCGTGTTTCTTGTCAGAATATCTATAGCTCTCTAGGACCATAATCTCATTGGTCAACTCAGTCAATTGGCATAACATAGTTCACAAAAGTCATGATCTGCATCCTAGTGAAGTGAATATCATCTGGGGTCTTAAAAGCTTGCGATCGGCCATCTAAGACACAACTGCGGGTCTCTACCTGCCAAGAGCAAAACCGTAAGAAGGTAATCAAAAGCGCAGAAAAGAAACAAGTCTACATGCGTCAAAACCTCATCTACCCCGAGACCAGAAGAACTAGATGGTGCCCAGCCATCACCACTGACCGTTCTCACTAGGGTCCCAGATAGAATGGGGGAAAAAAGTGAAGTAGAACTCAAATTTTTATTTAAAAAAAAAAAAAAAAGCCAGATAAACTGGAACAGTAGAGAACAGAGGACTCCCTGAGACTATCAGCCTGAGACACTCTTTAAACCTAGAACTAAGCCTATCCCCTGAGATCACCTTTTAGGGAAACAGCACAGTGGCACACAAAATAAAGGATATTACCTGTAACATCAGTGCCCTACTTAAAAACCACGTGTATGAGACCAAAAGGTCAACAATTACTCAAAAGCAAAGATGAATAGATAAGATGGCAGGGAAACTAGAGTACTGGAAAGTGAATAAACTGAACACAATTAAAGAAAGACAGTGTTGACATACTGTGATAAATGTAACTAATGTCACTGATCACTTTGTGTGGAAATTGTCAAATGGGAACCTAACTTGCTGTGTAAACTTTCACCAAAAACTCAATAAAATATTATAAAAATAACAATAATAAATTAAATTAAATTTAAAAAGACTATATATAGCTCTCCATTATTTGTATCTCTACATCTATATACTTAAAACCTTCCTTCTACCAATTCAAAAACTACAGTTCTTCCAATGTCCACTTCCACAAGCAAACTTCAAGTTTTTTTCAAGGCCAAGTGCCATATTTATTGTAGTATTTATGTATTTAACCATTTAACATATATAAAACCATGCTACCATTGTTATTGTTTTTTTAATATGTCAGCAACAAAGTTTTCACATATTGGTGATTTTGTGCTGCATGGTGTTTTTTTTTTAGAAATGTATATATTGTGTTATAACAGAACTAATGCTATAGACGTGCTAAAGCTTCTTTACTGGTGTAGATCAGAATAAGAATGATAACATGTGGAGGCTTGAATGGTTAAAAGAAGTGTGAATCCTGAGTGGATTTATCTCCAATTACTTGGGAAAACTAGGAATTGATCATACTAGCATTTTCATTTCCCCATGCTTATACAAATAATCAGTAGAGCAGATTTATGAAGTTCATTTTCTTTAATAGCATCAGTACATAATTATGTCTATAAAATTTTGTAAAACTCCACAAAAAATACCTCACCAGTAGAAATTAAACTGTCGTTTCTATTGCTGATATCCTCTAAAATGTCATTCTTTAGAAAGGAATAATCATACAATTTTTTACCTAAGAATTCTACAGATGATCTTCCATCATTGTCAATACACTTTCCAAGATTTAAGTCAGGTATCTTTGGTGGTAACCCACTCTTCAGTATCTTTTTCATAAGAATTTCCTCTTCATAGTTTTTTATGTTTCTGTTTGATGAATATACAACCCTAAAAGACAAAATGTAATATACTTAATTAAAATAGTGTTGATGATTTTAAAAGCTAGTTTCCCAACATACTGCTTTCATGTATTACAATTATATAACATTAAAAACCTTTTAAATCAGGAGTAAGTGGAGAAGCATCAATCTAAAACAGTAGAAAGTTGAAAGGTAGTGGAAACATTTTTTAAATGTTAAAACATAATAAATTACATGTCACAATGTAACAACTAATTAGATAACCTATATGAAATAAACAAATTCCTGGAAACACACAAATTACAAAAAATGACTCAAAAAGAAACAGAATATCTCATCAGACCTATAACAAGTGAAGAGATTGAATCAGTAATCAAAAACCTCCAAAAAAATCAAAAGTCCATGACCAGATGGCTTCCCTGGTAAATTCTACCAAACATTTAAAGAAGAATTAACACCAAGCCTTCTCAAACTCTTCCAAAAAAAACTGAAGATGAATGAGCACTTCCTAACTCATTCTGAGGCCAGCATTATCATGATACCAAAGCCAGATAAAGACAACACAAGAAAAGAAAACTACAGATCAATATCTCTTATGAATATAGGTGCAAGAATCCTCAACAAAATACTACCAATCCAATTCCAATATATTAAAAGGATTATACACCATGACCAAGTGGGATTTAACCCAGAAATGTGAGGGTGATTCCACATAAGAAAATCAACCAATATAATATACCACATTAACAGAATGAAGGAAAAGAACCACATGATCATCTTGATGCACAAAAGGCATGACAAATCTAACACCCTTTCATGATTAAAAAAACAAAACAAAAAACTCAGCAAAGTAAGAATAGAAGGGAAATTCCCCAACATGACAAAGGGCATTTATGAAAAACACATAGCTAACATCATACTCAATGGTGAAAGACCAAAAGCTTTCCCCCTAAGATCAGGAACACGATAAGGATGCCCACTTTCATCACTGTTATTCAATATTGTATGGAAGTTCTAGCCAGAGCAATTAGACAAGAAAAAGAAGTAAAAGGCATCCAAATCAATAAGGAGAAAGTAAAACCAATATAGAGAATCCCCAAGAATCCACAAGAAAGCTACTAGAGCTCATAAACGAATTCAGCAAAGTGGCAGGGTACAAGATCAACACACAAAAATAAAGTCAGGTTTCTATACACCAGCAATGAGTAATCTGAAAAAGAAATCAAGAAAATAATCTCACTTACATTAGCATCTAAAACAATAAAATACCTAGGAATAAATTTAACCAGGGAGGTGAAAGACTCGTACACTGAAAACTCTAAAACGTTGCTGAAAGAAATTAAAGAAAACCTGAATAAATGGAAAGACATCCTGTGTTCATGGATTGGGAGACTTAACATTGTTAAGATGTCAATACTGGTGGGGCCAAGACGGCGGAGCAGTCAGACGGCTTCCTATATCCCTCTTACAACAAGGACCTGGAAAAACAAGTGATTTGATTGTATATGAATATCCAGGAGCCCTGAACAAGGCATAGTTGAGGAATCGGACTGAGTGGCAGAAGGAGAGGGAGACGGTTCGGAAGAAGCGAGGAGGCAAAGACCGACGGCAGGAGCCACAGCTCTTCAGCCCCGACTGGCTCAGGGTGCACAGTGAAGCAAGCATACAGCTCCGCATGTGCGTTCGGGAGGCAGTTTCCACATCGAGAGAGATCCGGCAGCAGAGATTCTGCTTGGACACTCTGAACCAGTGAAAAGCAGCAGCTCCCAAGCGACTAAAGTACATGCGTGTATCCTTTCGCAGGGATTAAAAAAAAAAAAAGCCCATTTGGGAAAAACCTCTCTCCTTTTTACCTCCCTCCTGGCTCTGCACCGCTCTACTGGCTTCCAAAGTCTCTGAATACCCTGGGCTGGAAGTAGATCCCATAAGAGGCCCTGACCCATTCTCCTGGCCTTGGAGATGGAACAAATTAACAAACGGAGAAAAAATAAGCTACTGGCTCCCCTAACCCAGGAACTCAGGGTTAGCACAGCTCTTTGCTAGGCACAGGCATAAGGGGTCCGCAGACTTTGAGTGTCTTTCACCCCTGTATAGACTTGTGTGGACCTGTATCAACAGTGTAAGCCCTCACTACCACAGTACAACAGGGTAAACACCTGAAGTCTAACTTCAACTGTTTCAGCTGTGAAGTGGCAGATTTGTGACGACCGACACAGCCCTGCACTTTAAGCAGGCACCTTTACTGGTCTGCATCAGGGGTTTGAGGACTGATGGCTCCACCTACGCCACTGAGTCACCTGTTACAGGGGTACAAGAATAAGTGGTGCCCCTGAGTCTTTACAGCCAACAGAGTATGGTGCTCACAGTCCGGCTGCAAAACTCACCTACCTACTCACTCTAGGGAACAGGGACATGCTTTCCCTTCAGACACTCAGGGGCAGCACGTGACCCCATTCTGCAGCCAGATACCTGTGCCTACACCAATCACCCATGCCTCTCTAAGACTGCAGGTGAGAGCCTGCACCACACACTTGGTGACCGACTGCATGGACACCTGAGCTGAATCCATACAGGAAAATTTAACAAACTCCTGTGTGCACATACTTAGTTACAGAACTAACTACCTGGTGACAGGATGTTAGAGCTGCAAAGGTGCCGAGAATCAAATTAGCGCACACGAGCAGCCTACTTGGGCATATCAAAACAAAACAAGCAAGAAGCCAGGACACACTAAACAAATATAAAATAAAATTATGATCACTTATTGACAACAGTCAATATCAAATCACATAAAAAGGCAGTCCATGATGGCTTCAGCAAGCTCCCAAAATAAAGAATCAATAAATTCTCTGGAGGAAGGGAATTTCTTGGAATTACCAGAGGCAGAATACAAAAGATTAATATACAGAACTCTTCTAGAAATTAGAAAGGAAGTTCGTCAAAACGTAGAGACAGCCAAAGAACATACAGACAAAGCAGTAGCGGAACTTTAAAAAGTTATTCAAGAACATAATGACAAATTTAATAGGCTGCAAGAATCCATAGAGAGACAGCAACCAGAAATCCAGAAGATTGACAATAAAATTTTAGAATTAGACAACTCGATAAAGTCACAGAGCAGAACTGAGGCAATGGAAGTCAGAAGTAGTGACACTGAAGATAAAGCACTTGACATTAGCTTATTTGAGGAAAAATCAAATAAAGAAAACAAAAAGAATGAAGAAACTCTAAGAGTTTTGTGGGACTCTATCAAGAGAAAAACCTACGAGTGATTGGAGAACCAGAATGGGGGAGATAACAGAAAATACAGAGAAAACCGTTGAAGATTTGTTGACAGAAAACTTCCCTGATATCATGAAAGATGAGAAGATATCTATCCAAGATGCTCATC